TAAATGGGCTGAATATTTCTGTTTAGTGTTTCCTGATTCTCCCATAATTTTGTTTGCACTACTGAAAAAAGTATCTCTACTTGCTTATTGTTAAGGACTGAAACACAATGGAAAAGGTATAATGTATACACAAAGATTTAGAGGATTATAGGGGGACCCATGAAGAGAAATAAAATGTAAACTTAAATTAGTAACAAAATTATGAGACAAAATGCAAGAGCTATTTGAAAATAGCATATGACAAAATGCGAAGAGGCAACTACTCATAATTATCTTCAAATGTTTTGGTAAGCTCCAGTTGTCGCTACAGTGCAAAAGAGGCAATATTTCATCTGGGTGGAATTCAGATTAAGAGACAAGAAACAAAACAAAGTTACAGAATTGACAAAGTACCAAGTGTCTACACAGTAGAGCAAAAGTGCAAAGCAAACACCATTAGGGTAAATGTAAGCAGAAGTGTAAAATACAAATAACTGTAGCTAAGGATAAAATATTTCTACTTCCATCCATAATTTTAGCACTGACAATGTGGATTAAAAAAGGAAAACAGAATATTCTTTTATACATGCAAGTAAGAATGTGTAAATCAACAATAAGTCTTACAATAATTATATGAATTAACAAAATATTGCTTTTTGGAATCTTATCGTAGCTGCTAGACTGGGTAGGAAACTAGTAATATAGTTTTCATTTCATCTGTTTTAGTTAAAATGCAACCACACCAAAAAATCAAGCCACATAGCTAACAGCATAGAATTTATTTAAAGCAAATGACTATACTTTGGCATTTTAATTAATGGCTCTATCATCTTATTCAAAATTTATTAGAAGGACTCAAGAACCTAGTTACCAAAACACCAAAAAATCCAATTAAAAAGTGGGGTACAGAACTAACTAGAGAATTCTCAATAAAGGAACCTAAATTGGATGAAAGACACTTAAGTGCTCATCATCCTTTGCTATCAGGGAAATGCAAATCAAAACAACTCTGAGATACCATCTTACTCCTGCCAGATTAGCAAAAACAAACAAAAAAAAAACAACAAAAAAACAACAACAACAACAACAACAACAAAAAAAAAACAAAACAAAAAACAAAGAAGACAGCTTATGCTGGAGAGGATGTGGAGAAAGGGGAATACTCTTCCACTGCTGGTGGAGTGCAAACTTGCACAGTCATTTTGAAATCAGTATGGTGGTTCCTCAAAGAAAATGGGAATCAGTTTACCACAAGATCCAGCAATTTCACTCTTAGGCATATACCTAAAAGATGCACATTCATACAAGGACATCTGTTCAATCATATCCATAGCAGCATTACTTGCAAAAGCAAGAACCTGGAGGCAACCTAGATGCCCCTCAACTGAAGAATGGATAAAGATGTGGCACATTTACACAATAGAGTACTAGTGCAGGGAAAAAAACAAAGGAATCCTGAAATTCGCAGGCAAAAGAATAGAACTAGAAGAAACCACCCTGAGTGAGGTAATCCAGTCACACAAAGACAAACATGGTATGTATTCACTCATATATAGATTTTAGACATAAAACAAAGGATTATCAGCAAATAATTCACAAGGAGGGTCCAAAGAGAGACATACATGGTTCCCTGAAGAATCGCAAAGGAACAAGATCTAGCAAATTGGGAGCATGGAGGTAGGGGAGAGGGAGTTAGGAGAAAGAGAAAGGGAGAAGAGGAAGAGAGAAATGGACATGAGGGAACAGGAAGATTGAGACAGGGAAAGAATAGAAGAGAACAAGAAAAAATATACCATAATAGAGGGAGCCATTATGGATTTAAGGAGAAATCTGGCACTAGGGAAATGCCCAGAGATCTACAAGGATGAATCCAACTAACAATCTAAGCAAAAATGGAGAGGCTACCTTTAATGCCCTTCCAAGATAATGAGATTGACAACTACCTTATATACCATCCTAGAGCCTTCATCTAGTAGCTGATGGAGATAGAAGCAGACACCCACATCTAAACACTGAGCTGAACTTCTGGAGGAGTGATAAGAAAAGGGGTCAAGATCAGGCTGGAGAAACTCACAGAATCAGCTGACCTAAACAAGGGGGAGCTCATGGAACCCCAGACTGATAGCTGAGAAACCAACATTATACCTACTCAGACCCCCTGAAGTCTCAGTTAGAAGGCCTGGGTAGCAGTCAAAGGGATCTCTGACCTGGAACCAGAATGTATCTCTGGTGCACAAAAGAACTTTGGAAGCACATTCCCCCATGGAGGGATACGCCCCTAGCCTAGAGGCAGGGGGGTGGGCCTAGATCCTACTCCAAATGACTTGACAGATTTTGATGATCCCTCCTGGAAGGCATCACCTTCCCTGTGGAGTAGGGGTGGTGGGATGGGGGGGTGGTAGGGTCATGGGAGGGAGGGAGAGGTAACTGGGATTGATATGTAAAATAAGAAAAATAAATATATATATAAAAAACAAAAAAAATATCCAAAAAGCAAACAAACAAAAAGAATGTACTCCTTGGTTAGTCAACTATACTCTACTGGAAGAGGACACATCCAAGAATAGTTGGGCAACATAAATTGGTCCTATGAGTTACTTTAAACAAACAAACAAAAAAAGACACAAAATACGGTGGGTAGATGTAAGAAGAGTCTGGGGGTGGAGAATATGATCAAATCATATTGTATGAACCTCTCAAAGAACACATGAAAAATTCTAAACATGAAAGATTAAGTAGAATATAACTAATAGTAAAAGTAATTTCTCCTCTTTATATACCATGCTCTGGTAATACTTGCGGGACATGTAGGAAGAAGAAAGAATTTCTTAAGTGGGTCAATTTTACCTAAGAATGAATGTATACACATTAGATGAGACATCTTTCTCCCATTTAGAACAAAGTCCTATCATTCAGACATATACTGAAATGTTTCAGCATATACATGCTATTGTGCACAATCTTCAGTGATTTTTATGAGCAACTGTTAAAAATACTTTATGATGTCGATGATTAGGGAACCTCATTTGGGGCACATGGGACAAAAAAGAAAAGTCAATCCTCCTCTCTTCCTTCATAAATAAAGAGTAAAAATAGCTACAGTATAAAAATTAGAAAAGAATAAAAATGAAAACCAAAAAACAAAACAAAAGAGTCTGAGTCATAGTCATCAACAGAGTATATTTGGAGATGCAGAGATGAAGAAAATAAAGGAAACAGATACATATAATACAAAGAGAAAAACCAAAGTAATGCTTGTAAGACAAAATGCAAAGGAGAAGACTCTTAAAGTGGGTGTTTTAAACACGTCTTAATCTGTACAAACTAAGTATGAGCAGATAATGAAGAAATAAACATCTCAGCAGTACCAAGTCACTGTGCTGCTTTACATTTCATATACACACATGAAGACTATGATTTGCTACTCAAAAAGCCATATAATAGTAATTTTTAGAATATGCATATGAGAGGCACTTTATCATAAATGGCAGTTACACATTGGATGATATGTATGGCAAAAATCTAAGAACAACAGACAGGGATTAAAACTTTGGTGTAGTTATACAAAGATTTCATATATCTATAGTAGGACAAACAAAACATTTTAAATGCAGAGACTTTAAATTTAGTAATTAGTAAATATTAGGATGATTTGTAAAAATTGAAATATGATAGTCTGTCTACTTTGATTCATGGTATTAAATATTCTGTGTATTCCTAATCAGGACATAGTTTTCATGGTCTTGAAAACAAACACACAACTCCAACAAAAGGCAGCTGTTCAAGCTCAATTTCCAAGACAAGTAAGACTGCCATGTTATACAAGAAGATAAAGACATTAAAACAAGCTATTTCAAATTTAAATAAAAAAAATCATAAAAACTAAGATAAAGACATACAACCAGTAATCAATGCATTTTTCCTCAAAGATGGTATGGAATTATTAAGTAATAGTCTTTAAGAATAAATTTAAACATGGGTCAACCTGAATATTCTAAAATGTTCCTATTACCCTACAGGTTAGAGCCAGGTCTGGGGGATCATGCTGCAATGCCAGGTGGGAAAGATTAGAATTTCACACAAGTTTAAGTGAACCCTGGATGACGTATCAAGTTCCAGCCAATGTGGGGTATTCGGTGAATCTTGGTTTTTGTTTTGTTTTGTTTTTTTTTTTTTTCCCTCAACCTTCTCTATAAACATAAAATATTAATTCTTAAGTTTAAGTGTACTGGATTGGTCAGCTTTAAAGAACATATCAATTTAATGTTTTCCCTCTTCCAGCATCATTTTTTAATGCTTTACTGCTAAATCTAACAAACAAAATATGCACTTTGAAAACACTTGTGTTGCCAGAGAATGTCGAAGAGCAAAAATGTTTGTGTGTGTCACTACAGAACTCTGTGTCCCTGGGTGGCACTGATGTAAGGATCCCATGATGCTGTGCAAGGGCTCACTGGGTGTGACAAGAGCAAGCACCAAAGATCCCCTCATTGCACTGACTCTGAAGGTTTTGAGCTTAAATATTTATTGAAATATTACTTTCTTTCCCTCTGAAGTGACTCAGACACTATGGATGGATAGTTGTTCACAAACATCATCTAGTAAAACTTCCTACCCCAGATGAAGTCAATTTTACATCTTGTTTTAGAATTATTATATTTATTCCTATAAGACCGTGAAGTAGTAATATACTGGAGAACTGCAGTCAAAAAGCTTTCTTCCTTTTGCCTATATCCTATGAAAACTTTAGAAGTTATTCCTTGAAATAGCAAATGACACAGAAGACAACAACATTTGCATTACAGAATCTATGAAATATTGGACAGAAATAGAAGTGATAATTTTTTTTTAACTTTAATTAAAAAGAAAAAAGAAATCCCATCAAAGCTGATAACCATGGAAAACAAACATTTGCTAAAGACTAAAGAACCAATAGCTTTTAATAGAATTAAGTAATTGATATGAAGTGCAATACTAAGAGAGGCAAAGCAGCAGTGAAGGGAAGGAATGCACTTTCTCACCCTGATGAACAACTGCATCATTTCTTTCTCTTTTTGAGGGTTTCGGTACTTCTCATAGAAATCGCGACGCTTCTTTGTTTCTTTGGAGACCCTGTCTTTCCTTTCCCGCTTCTCTGCTGGCTCATCTGTGCCATCACAAGATGACTGTTTGTGCATTTTTGGCTTTTCCACTTCAATATAGTTTTCATTTGGGTTCAGGACTATGACTCCATACCCTTCCTGTTTTGAAATAGAAAAAAAAAAATGGTACAATTTGATATCAGAATTCATTTCAGTTCATGAAAAAGTTTCTAACATCCTAGGCAAGGTAATTTTATGTAGTTTCAAGTTACTAAACTATCCTTTCAGCAAAGATTATGTAAAATTTTTAAAATAAATTATAAAATTGTTGGCTTTTATTACATGCACAAATAAGCATAGATTATAAGTATAAAAATACATGGACATGGTTGCCACAGAGGAAAATGATGAATTTTAAATGAAAAGTACAATCTATTCCTAGCGTGAATAAAATAAATGATTACACAGGAATACATCCAAACCACATTACATGTGTTTTAAGAAAAGTATATCACCTGTGCACCTTGGACCTTATTCTCTTTCCATCCAGAAAGTCTAAAAATCCACAGAGCAAGATAAACCAACAGGATGATGAGTGGAAACACCTGTTTTATCTTGACGTTTGGTTCATGTTTTAGGCCATAGTAACAGGCTATCTTGTTTAAGAATGAGTTCTGAAGTTTAAAAGCACAACTTTTTTTTTTTTTTTTTTAACTGTACGGGTTTTAGGTTTTAAACATATATTTTCCTGACTTGCTCACATCTCACAAGGCAAGCATTTCTGAAATTATTAAAATCATCAGATATTCATGTTGAACTTGTGAACTAATCTAAACATTAGAAATACAGCAACCACTACCAAGTTTGAAGAATGGGGGGGGGGGGACTGAAGCAATGTATATGTCTTTTCTATTCAATGCTACATTGTGAATGTCCTAATTATGATTTTGAAAAATCTTTTAAGGTCATATCTAGAAATGTAATATATTAAGACAAAAATATACAGACGACAGAAAATAAAGTTTGTAAAATCTCCAACCTTATTAAAACAAAGGTAGTGTTTCAAACTATAACCATGGAATTTCAACATGAAATTCAGATTTCAACTACTTTTTAAAAACAAAACCAAACATAAGAAGATAAATTTAAAAATAAGAATCTATTTTGACATAGAGCCAAGTTTTCACTCTGAGGTATGCCCCACTGTGGTTACGACTTTGTAGTCTTATTTTGTCCCATGAACTGGTTGTTAATGTCAATGGGTTTCTTTCACTTTTGTGCCTTGTCAGGGTACTGTGACTGAAATCATTGCTGGTTTGCAAATTTCAAGAACATTGAAGTCTGGTTTTGGATTAGGACTATTAATTAAGATATAATCCTTTTATATACGTAGAAATTATCTAATAATATATGTCGACACAATGAACAAAATGCCACACACTCTTCAACAGCTCCTTCAATAAAACTTTTACATAAAAGCCTCTCTTATGAACCACTTCGAGTGTAGTTTTAAAAATGTAAACATTTGACTTCAAAGCAAGAGAGATGTTGCATACTTTTTTGAAAGTTGGTTAGCTGTTAAGTCAAAGTTTTACCAACAAAAGACATTTGATTTGGGCCTGCTTTATTCTAATCTGTATAGCTATTCAAAAGTCTTGTAATTCATTGTGATCTCTGTCAGGTAGACAGATTGTTACTTGGTGATTTTCTACAGTTGGACACACTTGACTAATTATTGAAATCACATTTGAAGGAAGTTCCTATCCCTCTTGCTTGTGCCTTTTACCACGCCTGTCTCAAAGTTTACCTATACCTTCTCCTCCCACCAAAGTAAATTAAAGAGCACTGTTACACTCTGCTAAACATGGTGAAATGCAGACATTCAGTACACTGTCTCTGATGTAAGGAACATATTCAAAAAAGGTCACCATAGGCCAAAAAGGAAGCTGCCTCCTCACCAGATTTTGTACTGTGAGTAAGTGGTCTCCTGTCATGTTTCTTCCCTGCCTTCTCTAACACACACACACACACACACACACACACACACTTACTTTTTCATGCTCATATAGAAGCTAAAAGGCCTAAGTAAAATTTTAAATTTCATAAGAGGTACAAGCCTTGTTTAGCACGGTGTAATGATAGGAATATTCAAACTCAGGACAACAAAGTGACACTTCAATTACTAATTATATTAGATGATGCTCATATGAAAATTAATATAATAACAGAACAAGGATTTGCAACAAGGACAACCCTGAGCAAAGCTAACAATCACCAGAATTACCAAACCAATATGTAACTTAATCACCCAAATATTATCTCCACACCATCAGACTCCTCTGGACATTTTGAACTCATTTTTGGAAGTAAAACTGAAAAAAACAAAACAAAACAAAACAAAAACAAAAAACAAAAACCACTTGAACCTAGTTGATTTTAAATGTATTCTGAAAAGTGAGATGTCCCATCTAAATAAGTATTATATGTATAAGTACATCATTAAAGACGAAGTATTTGCCTAACTAATTATGTAACGGATAATTACAGAACTCATTTTTCCAGTTTTCTAAAGGTACAATGCAAATTTTTCACTGAGGCATCACTACGACATAAATCAATTAAAGAATTTTTAAAAATTTAGATGTCAACAATAAATTTTGAGACAGTTACATTAGTATCTTTAATTACCCAAATTACTTAAAGAATATTTTATCATTTAGCCATTTCAAATTGTCACTTTAATTAAAATTTGCATTTTCTCACTTACATTCTAACCACAGACATACAGACAAACTTCACCTGTTCCTTTCTCTTTTATATAAAAGGTCACAAAACAGTTTTATGTAAGATTCAAAGACTTTAAGAATGTCAACACTAACATATAGCAGCCAAGGTGTCAAAGAAAATAAAGTGAGAAAAAATATCAACAGGTTTTAGTAGAACTTATCACTTCAAGTACTAGGACACATACTGACTTAAAAAATAATTCTATTTCCAATAATTTAATAATACACAGCAAACTAAGTAAAAAGGACTGCTAATGTGATCTGTCGAATGTAAAGTTTTACAAGACTACAAAATAAAATCAAATACCATGTATATTAAAACGAACTATGTAATTGCTGCCCTTAACAAGGGCACCTCTTTAACATGGGCCTAGAATCCTAAGTACAGTGAAGCTTTATTTTATATGCAATTGTTCCTTAAGTATGTGAATGTCCCATAGGATGTGAAGTTGCAGCATTCCAAACACACATGCAAAACTTTTAACAAGATGAAATGACCAAACTGGTTATTTAACAATGCAATTCCATAAGGCTTAAAACACCTTTTATAATGACTTAAGAAATCACTTTCAATATGCACATACAGTCGTTAACTCACTCTTAGGTTTGAGTTGCAATCTAGATCAAGAAAGTATTCACATTGACTAATACAAGTATAAAAGGAAGGCTTAATTCTGCAGACTATTTCTGCGTATGTGTAGCTGTAACTGTGGTTTCATTTACAGGTCTGTGTCCATAATTCTATATTACAGGATCTTAATCTGAGACATACAGAAGTTTACTGCTAAACATGGCATTTAAAAAACACAACTATTTGCCATGATTAATAAAAAATACCCAGGACCTCTTACTGTGAAAATTTTAAATGCACTTTATCATTCCATCAGCAAACAATGGCAAAAGCTGAAACAGACAAGTGTTTGTCCAACACAAAGAATACACAGGAAATTTTGCTATAGAAGTTAAGCTAGCACAAAAATTTATTTATCAAGAATGTGTTGATAGAAACCTAAAAATAGCTGATAAAAATAGATGACTTTTCACCCCAAAAGAAACTATAAAAACTAAAGATCAAGCAAAGTTTGTATGCTAATTACCAACTCTAAAGAGAATGGAAAATTCTACAGCTTTTAAAATCTCTTATGAGTGGCTACATTAAAAAAAAAAAAAATCAGCTGAAAGTGCTCAGCTCCGCACATTAGCTTGCCAATACTCGAAGCCACATGTGACCAGGGAGGTCAAGGGCCACACTAGAATCTTTTGACCCATGGAACTATCCATTTCGGTCTCCAGGCAAAGCTCTGTAGGAGATCATTTTACACAGATATATCAATCATATTCTTCAAGTTCAGTATTCTACCTGCTTCGCTTGAAAGAAGACAGGTGTTCATCCTCAAGGCAAATGAAACTCCAAGTGTGTTATCTATAACTACCCACAGTTAAAATAGACAAAAAAAAAAAAAACTGTCCATTCATCTTTTCTGAAAGAGCTATGTTATGTTTATTCTCTTCTTCACAAGAATGGTATGCATATGTCACTGTTGCAACATCTTAGGTGCAACAGTGAGATGAGGTCATGACAACCAATCAGAAGTCACTAGTGAAGCGTTAAAGTAAACATAGCTGTTAGAGCTGCAACTCTGCTTGGAAAATGCCCCCTCCATTATTTCAGCAATTTTCTCAAGACGTGACCTGGCACTGAAATGCCTGAAATGTCACTTGACTCCCTTTTGTGCTTTTCAAGATGCATTAAGGTAACTACAAATATTTTATAAAGTATTTATCAGGATTATCCTTCAATTGGCAGTCTCATGGATTTTCTTGTTGTATACATGATATAAAATAACTGTAATATCAACCAACATAGAATATCCCAGATAAGTCTCCTACTTCACATAGATCATCAAGTTAGTCAGTGAAAGAAAACATGTCATAAAAAGTTTCAGAGGACCACCTGTTGTCTATTATTTTTACATAGCACTTACTCATAAATCATAACACAGGGTAATTAATCAAGCTGTCAAAGAGAAGGTCAAAGGTTATATGGTAGAGTCAGAAGGGCACGCTTGGGCTGATAGAGGTCAGGGTCACACTGCATTCCTCATTATCAAGTTGGGATGAGAGACGGCCAAGCAAACAAAAGTGAAAGCAGATGGAGAAGTGAGAGGGTAAGAAAAGAGAGAAAATTTTAGAAATAAAAGAAAAATGAAAGAAGACTGTCAGTTGCCTTCAAATGGAGAATGAAAAAAAAAAAATACAGGAATGTGCTCAAAAGATCCCAAGAACATAAAGCAACTACACTTCCACCAATTTACTAGCTGAAGATAACTTTTCTTATTTTCGGTATGCATTTTATTAATGCACACTAAGCAT